AGTACGTAATTCAAGATTGAATTAGGTAAATCGCATATCATATGGACAGTCTAGTCGAAGTACTAAGTGGCAGTGATGGAGGTATGATGTGGAAGAATAACAATAAATGTATAATTACAATAATGTATAATATGTGAAAAGTCAAAAGTCGCATTTTCTACATATCTACATGTTTGGTCGTTTGATTTTCTATAAAACGTATGACTAAATTTTGAAAGTGTTTCGCAGTCATGAGATGGCGAGGTTTGAACGTGACCTCTTTGTAACTATTGATTATTAATACAAATGCTGTCGGTAATGTTGCGATAGCAATCGATAAATGGCGGTCCTTGCCCGGTTTTCTTGATATCCGAATGTCATTACAATAAGTTTGTATATTTCCTGCTATTCGAGGCGAGAATTGATCTTTATGAATGAGTCGGCACAATACAAAGCGTTTAACAAAAAATGCTACGTTATTTATTGAAACATATAACTCTTAACTGCAGCAGAATTGCATCATGGGAATGATTTGATATTTGGTTGACGTTCACTACACGTTTGTACAGCATCCGATATTGCGCGTGAGTATCAGTGCTTATTAGCGGGCTAGTATGTTTCACTTAGTCTGTTTCATCCATCGATTATAATAAGCTATCGATCATCGGGTATGAGTCATCGAATCATGATACCGAGTACACGGTGGACTTTGCTGGTCGTAAAATACACTCCACCGGTTAGATGCTGCGACGACTTTAGCGCGATCATGAGCAAGAGCGGCGTGATGAATGCCAATAAGCACGATAGAGACTCGGGTGCACGTTTTTCATCATTGAAAATACTAAATTCTAAGAATATTAAGTCATTCATTGCCATTTTCAATATGCAGCATTTCAGCGCGACGGATGTTCGATATTGTTGGTGGGGATGGGGTTCGGAGTGATAATAGCCTAGAAAATTCGTCTACTAATTTTTTCTAATAGTCTGTTCGATAAGACGCGATGCCTAGACAGCTGCCATCTGCTTCGTGAAATCCTGAGGTATTAACTGGGCCAAGTAATTTGCAACGTTGCTTTTATAACGATTTGAGGTTATATATATATATATAATTCATTCACCTTGAAGAAAATTTGAATCATAAAAAGCAGCGATTTACTACATAACTTGACACGTCGCGCATAATAATTACACGAACGCGATGACTCATACATACATTAGATGTCGTTATCTCTATGTTTATTGTCACTAAAGATTGATCGATGTGTCCATTTCACGTGGATCCAGGCCACTTTACCCTGGTTTCTCTAGCCTTTTCATCACCAGTTCCCTCTTTTCATTACAAATTCACAAAATAGTCCTGTTTATAATCTGCACTTTCCTTCAGAAGATTGGGACCAAAATAGCCTAAATGTTTGAATAAAAACTGAAAATTGACTAAAATGTTGTCTTTGGCTCCAGAATTAGGGTTCATTTCTAGAAATATTGAAGATTATAACAAAAAGTGCAGACAAATTTGAGTAAAAACAATCTGATGGTGAAAAGGCTAGCCGTTGGAAAAACATTCTATTTTTGTCGCGAAACTATACTGCATTCTTTCAGTTAGATTAAATAATGACGTCACAAGACACCAATTGGCTTAAGTTTAGTTGGCGACGAGAAACAATCTTAATTATGATGAATAGTTGAAGAAGAAAAAACGAATAAAGAATGATTCATAATCTAATATAATTTCTATAAGTGAATATTTTCGTACACATAAATTCATTAGAACTCTGTCTAGGCTCAGATAAATATATTGTGACATGAAAAATCTCTAAAACAAGATATTTCATCAATGGTGATATTTTTAAATGTAATGTGTTTTACGCCCTCTCTGGTTTGCATAGTGACCTGCACGAGCCAGTGTTAGTGCGCCCGCACCAGCGTTGCGTTCGGGAGTTTACTTCGGAAAGGCGATGAGGGCCAAGTTGAAAGATGAGTCCAGAGTTAGTAACTGATATTTTAATTGCAGGTGAGACTGTGCCCGGGAATAATAACGTTCCATGGTGAAAGTAGGAATAAAATATAAGACTCGATGCTGTAGTTTGTAAGAAACTTGCGACTTGTTGTCACTAATAGTGCAACTGACGTCACTCAGCTCAGGTTAGAATTTAATACGTGTAAAAAAAACACGTCGCATGGGACCCACATCGAACGCAATTGTGGCACGTTAAACTCGCACATATTTCGAACAAATGGAACTTAACAGGCCAAAAAACACTGGCATATGCGCTCGGACGACCTACTTCATTCCAAATCCGAGTCGTCAAACATTGAATTCAATTTCACTGGCCTTATTGGCAGTGTCTAATCAACCAGCATGCCCCCAGTATGTCGAGGTCATTTGAGGTCACTTGTAAAATCGATACATACAAGTTGTACCTTGTCAATTTGTACAATAGAGCTCGACTATACCAAAAAAATCCATAGTGTCTTGGATTGCACCACATATCGCGATGGCTATACTCATACAATAAGGACCCCTCCCACTTCCCTATGTTCCATTATCCTACGGTATTCACATACATAATTTGTTTGAAAATGGAGATCATTGCCTGTTGTCTGCGTGCTTCCACTCATTGCATTGCTTTGTACGTAGGTATTAATACATAAAGACACTTCTTTTTTGCCGGGCCGTAACAATCGCCATCCAATAACTCTTTCATGGACGCCATTGTGTAAATCATGATCGTTTTCCCGCAAAGAATGAGGTCGAATAACGAGTTGTTTCACACGCAGATGAAGAGATCTCAATGAGCCCGGTGATTATAAATACTGCTTCAATCCATCGTATATTGGGTCTGTCATTACCTACATCTATTGGTAAGAAAATGACGCGAACACATTTGTATTATTTTTGTTTTGTTTTTTTTTATTAATAAAGATAAGATTTGTACGATAAGTCGCATATTTAGGCACACCAAACTTGTGATAATTATACAGCCATGAAAAGTAAAGATATGCAAACCCTTCGGCATATACAGAACATATACTCAACCATTTTAATCCCAGTACCGCCATTATCTAAGCTAACGTCGTATGTTGGCGCCACTTCCATCGCATACTGACTAGGCGCACTATGCTAATGTGCTTGTTGTGTTACTGGACCGCATACGGGCGCTATCATCGCGTCCCGGGCACCGCGTACTGGTGTTACTATCATCGCATTGTGGCGCACTCGTCAAATCTCGGACACCGTGTACTTGCACCGCTGTCATTGCCGACCGGCCCTACTGCCCAACGGCTCTACTACCACCACGTCCCCGCACCTCGCAATGGCACCGTTGTCACGTCCCACTGGCGCTAATTACTGTCCTAATATACTGGCACCATTATTGCTGCGTGTTGGCGCGGGCCATGGTCATCGCTTCCTCTCATTCCCACGTACTGGTGATAACAACGAGCCGGGTTTGACGTCAATATTCGTCACTTTTGGAGATATTATCACCACACAACTGGGGCTAATAATTTGCAGTGCCTTAGTGACACTGATACGGTGCAACCCATACATTAAATTGACAACACAGCCTCTTTGTTTTTCTGTTGGTGTTTCTCCGTGTTTGATTTATCGAATATGATTTATTAAACTATTAGCTACTCACATAAATCCGTGACCTTATAACCTTACAACTAATCATTATACTATATACCACGTGACAATATGCGCATACCACGTGATAATCTGCCAGGCGTTTTTTTTCAAACTACACTCGCAGCATGGATGCAGATACCGCGACTACGTCCACGGATCGCAAAATACATTTTAACCAATATGCGCTCATATTTAAATAATAATATTTAAATAGAAAAACAGGATCAAATATTAAAACTATTATACAAAATTATAAGTTTCGGTAAGTTATATAGCTGCTATCAACTTATTTACATAAGGCACCTTTGAAAAATTAGCAAGTCGTTAAAAATGAAAGTTTAACACAATTGATGATAATCTATATTTCAAGAGGTTTTTGTTTGCCGTCCGCCTCTTTGTCTGTGGAATCGCAGGGAATATTTGCTTCTTCCATACTCATAAGTCCCGTCGCATGAGGGCAGTCGTTACAAATCTACACATGCTCCTTGAATGTGTTTTTTCTTCTAAAATGGTTCATCCATTGAATGTCACCATCAATGTCTTGGAAATGTTGTTCGTGGCAACTGTAAAACGTTCGTACACAACCCTGGGCCAACTCTTGCCACCTTCGTAAATGCTATACAATCATTTGCATATATGCATGTCAACAATTTTTTTGCACCTTTTGCATTTCACATAGCAACACCAATGAAATTTACAGTGGCACCGTTCCACCACTTCCTGTTGAAAAGTGTTGTATCCTCGTCCGCAGCACATTAAATTACAGCCGTCCATACCCATAGACGTCTTATTACACAGTCTGCCGACCGTTCCCAGTGATCCAGTGCTGGGGTCATAGATGCAATAATCCGGCGATGGGTCCAGATACACCAAGTCAAACGCGGTGGGGTTGTTGAACCGACTGTCCACTAATTTGATTTCCCCCCTTCTATTGCGACGAATCTCGGCCGCACCGTCGTATCTCTCCTTCAGTTCGTTGCCGACGTCTCTGAAGTTTGCCAGCTGAAGCCAACAAGTTTTCATGCTACATGACCCGGAAACACCATGACACTTACACATGACGTCTGCCATCGAAAGGACCGCCTGAAAGACGAAAAATCAGACAAAATAATCAAAAATATACACTTATTTTTAATTGATACAATAATAATTGCATATGAATAGCCATGTAGATTTGTTTTTGGTGGAATAAAAGATCAAAAAATGATACCAAATAGCCTTAAATCGGAATGAAATCATACATACGGGGCGAACTTAAATAAAGATATCGGAAAACACTAGCCTATAGGATGACCTCTTTTCTCGACTTTTTTTAAACATCATTCGTATTGTTACACAAGTTGTATTTTTAACATGTTTTAATGATTGAAGAGCGGCTATCGGAAACGTGTCCCGTACCAGTGATGAGCCACATAATACGCTGACATGTTGTTGGATTTTATAAATAAATACATATGAACGTACAAATAGACACCAATTCTGCCAACTGGGTTCTCTATTCGATCACCGGGCATTCTATTCACTCTGTTCAAAGTTAACTCGTGTTATTTTCTATCGTTATCGCAACTCGGCCGTCGGTACCAATAAGGATCATAACAAGCAGTCGACTCTACCTTGAGCACAACTACACAAAGAACCGTGTCCTATTTCAAGGAGTCTTAAAGGGGCCACGATAATCTGAACTGCTCTTCAGTTACCGCAGTCCTGTTATTTGTGGCCACTTACTTCGTCAAAAAGTTTTAACCCTATATTGTTCATATGTTTGAATAGGCGCCAGTTGTCAACACTAAAAACAGGTAAGGTCGGGGAAATCGAAAATAATTCATACACAACTTCAAAATTAACGAATTATGGCGTAACTCTCGAAGCCAAACATGTTTACCTACGTTTTGTTATTTCGTCACAGCTGACGCTATTTTTGTTTTAATTTGTTTACATTGTCACTAATATTACACACGCACACAAGGAAACAATACTGTGTAAAAAAAACACAAAAAAAAAACACACAAATTACATATAAACACATTAGATTTTAAAAACACCACTATATCTAAACGTCACGGTGGATATAGCTCCATGATCCAAATGAGAAAACTCGAGAACGTACGCTAAGTCGAAAATGTATAAATGTATTTACTACTGTTGCCGGTAAGTCGCACGTGTTAAAGATGAATGATAACATGTAACTTTGAATATTGCTGTTTGATACATTAAAAAAACGATTCACCATCAAACAACAAGCAATAAGTGCCCGTTCAGTGAAGAGAACGGAATTCTCTAATACGCATGTGCAATGACCACTTTGTTTTGTAACTTACAATAAAAATCAATGCACATGCGTACTAATATGTTGTTGTTTTTTCATAGTGACGCAAGAATTCCGCGATTGAAAAACAAAACAAAAAATCTTTAAATACAAACAGCAATAATTCACAGTACACCGAAAGTTAGTAAAATATACGGATTACACATCTGTTTAGCAGCAAAGGACGGGACGGGAAAGACACAACAATTTGCTCTATATTTGTACTGGCATGTAGCAATGATGTAAAGTTAACACTCTTGACATTTGTCGGCCAAGAATTCAACTGGTAAACAAAGAGTACACATTCCGTTACTACTACTCATACAGAGAAACATTCTAGTGAAACATTTAACGTTTACTGTTTTAATTTGTCCGTGGAATGATCGAACCTCTGCGATGCTAAGAAGAGATGCCATGCAGTTGTTTCGTCTACTTCAGCAATGGTGCGGAAAAGTTTCTTTTTATCCTCCTTCATCCTTTGTGACTCGAAAACGTTCGCTTGGAGAAATTAAGTGGGGATGATAACACATTAATAGATTCATTTACTGTAGGTAAAACGAATGCATCCTTCTTTGCCAACTTTGGCGTCCAGAAAATGCATCGCAGAGGTCTGCGACCTATGACGTTTTTATATCCATATTTGGTCACTCATACAATGACGTCATGCGCAATACATGGCGCACTACTACGAGTTTTAATCGTGTTTATTTATAGAAGAATCGTGTAATACAAATATCTAGTGAAATGTTTGTTGTAAAGAAAATTGTTAACATTTCAGCTCCAGTGTATCAATCCACATTGTGTCTAGTTTGACTTACATCTCGTGATCATCATCATAAGTTTTTCTCGTTATGGTCATAATCAACCGAATCAAGAATAGCTCTGATGACGTGACAAAGTGTCCGCTTCGGGAGTGCTGGTTCGGAACATTCCGTGTCAACGAGGCGCGCGTGACTTTTCGTTACCCGTAACCCCAAACATATGTTACGAACCCATTGACATTAAGCCGCTGCGAAGGCCGTGGAAGCTGAATTGATAGGTCGAGGATATGGTATAGTTGAAGAATACTAATCATCCTCTTCCGTCCGGGTATGGCGACATTAGTGGATTTATCAGACGAAATAGACAGATGTGAACGGGGGTCGAATAGTACATCTCTAGTTTCCATGACGACATAAATACGTGACAGAATTTCTTTGCGATAGGTTGGGGTACACTGTCTGAACTACTCATGCGTCCGTAAAACAGGGACAGAACGGTTAGTTCGTTAATTTGGTAAATGGGTAAATGTGAATCGAGTGTTTCATACGTACTTTTCACTAGTTTTTAAAATTCGACACGTGATGACATTTTTTTTCAGTGGTATTGTAATTTTACCATCCTAGTTATTTTTTTCAAGTGCCAATAAGCGCTATTATCAGCTTCGTTGAAATAATGAATATACCAATGGAGGACAGTTTTTTTTTTTACTTGTATTGTGCTGGTTACTTTGAAAAAGACAGACCGGTTGAAAATCGCTTCATTACTACATAGGCGGTGGACCTCAAAGTGTAGAACCGCAATTCAATAAACTATATCATGGTTAGCAAAACACAATCACGGTGTACACAGCGCTATGGGAACATGAATGTAAACAGGGCCGCTGCTAATTATCGACGACACTCCCCCCTTCTTAGTATCCGGAGTCGGCCGATTGGTTTTTAAGGTACATCAATACAACCGAGTTTCACGCATAGCCATTGAGAACTTTCCAATTTGCGGCACACGGGGAGAATTTTTTATTACCACGTGTCACCTGACCCTTGAGTTAATAAATCAGTGAGACACAGTGGACAGAATCACGTACTATGAACGATTTGTGAATTATAATTATAATTATAGTCACGGAACATTTTTCAGAGATGACAGACAGACAGCCAGACAGACAGACAGACAGACAGACAGACAGACAGACAGACAGACAAACAAACAGACAGACAGACAACTATCGTAATAATGAATGCATTCAATAATCACGTCAGATGGCCATAGCGTGTCATTGTTTACAAACAAGCGTCAACCCATGAGCCTTTGCGTTTTAGCGTGTGTTGTTATCGTCGCTTGGGACTCAATTCCCGCGCGTGCGCAGGTGACGAACCTCCCGCTTTAAGACTGGCACTACAATGTTATCAAATTAATTACTTTCAGTATAGGTATCTCCTAATACTAATTCTTCAGTTTGTGGTAAGTAGCTATTTGCAACGGATGCATCTTATATATGGCGTTAAAGCAATATAATACAATATTGGTGATACACTTGGTGGGACAATTTGTGATTTATAAATATTTATGAAATCCGTGACCCAATTGTTTTTGCGGTTTCGTAGTGCTAGTATATTGTTGAGTGAAGTCGACACGTGCCAAATTAAGAAAACACCAATTTATTGTGACCGTACCAAGCCTGGAGCTCACTCGACGAAAAACATTAACATATCCCCCCTCTCACACACACACACTATAAAGGGACTGATATTGCTGGACATGCACCTAGCATCTACTGACCTAATACGATGTAACTTATTTCGCATGCACGCGACAATCCTTTACCCCTGTGACTTCATGATAATTGACCGTCGATCGACATCGACTGACTTCTTGAGAGAGCGAGCAACCCAGCATAAACAAGTTATTGTAAACATATACCCTACATTGTGTACACATATACCATATTTCTGATAAAACATGGAATGCAGTTACTAAAGCAGAACACTAATAGTCTAATAGTCACAACATTATTTTAATTGCGGCCTGCGTAAGATGTGAACTTTATTGTTGACGAGGTTTAGGACGTACGTATCATCTGTTCTCTGTCAGTAATACGAGTATTACATAGCTGTTATCGGGGTCAAAACCACCCTTATTGTAGCCACTCACCCCGAAAACTCCCGAAGCACCACGAACAATAAACAGTATGGCGAGCGCTAGGATCAACTATTTGATCCCTCATAGTATCAAAGACTATTTTCTATACATATGCAATGTATTATACAAGTACGGATAGATCACGTGATGCATTATGTCATTTTCAATGCATTAAACATTCCTGGTCTAAATAACACTGGTTATTAATTTACAAGTATCTAATGACGCCACGACCGTTTTGTCCCAGGTGTGGCAAACCAACCCCACACCGAGATGCATGGACGTTTCAAAAATCTGAACAGAGAAATGAATGATTGAGCGCGTAGTGGTAACGTTGAACCTAGTCTAGCGAATGTGTCCGGAGGGGGGAATTCTTGGTGAGAGCATAGGAATTCTAAGTGTGTGGGTTTTTTTTTTTAACTCGCATGAGAAGACTGAAAGGAAGCCATACTTTGCCTAATTAGATTACATTAAAGCCCCGTGAACCAAAAATGAATAGCCCCATATGTATTGTTCCCTCCGAAAAAAAAGTTTAGGATCAACTTCAAGGAGGAAGGGGGTTTTTCTCTGGAAAAAAATATACAGAGATTCGATTTATAAACATATCTATATCTTTGCATAGAGACTAAATCAAATTTTACAGCAAAACAGGAACCGCCTTTGGCAGGAAACTACCGTATGCTAAACATGTGTTTAATCTCATGGCGACGTTGTACAGTAGGCATGGAACACTGAACTAATACATCTAGATATACTAGTCTTACTCAAACATGTGTTTTAGTTCAACTTTCTCATTTAAGGTGTATTTACCACACCTGATCGCTACCAGCGACCAACCATCCTCCATTAGCTGTCATTCACAAACATGGCTATGGATCAAATTCAGAACGACAAAAAAGAAGCACGCCTGACTAAGAAGGAAGAACAACAAACAGATGGGATTTTTTTTGACAACTTAGCAAAATTTACGATCTTAACCAAGTAGTATGAAAACTATCGGAATCTGTCCTCGAATTCTTTGCAAATACACCCACAATGCCGTGATCAACATCTTGATTGTGGCATGGGAAAGACAAGGTCTGGGACATCAGACAAAAGGAGGATTTCCGTTTCGTGGTCGTAATTCCATCTCTGTCCATCACGAAGACGGAAATCGAAATAATGGATTGGGTCGTAACTGTCCCCTCTAATCTCAACATATCCACAAAATGAGTAGATTGGCTGAATTGTAGCGAGCACTAGACTACGGGCATCACCTATGACATCCGGTCGACTAGCCCTACTGATTTAAATAGTTAGCTGCCAATATCGTAACCATGGATACATCATACACCACATCTCTCTCAGGGGTTGGTATTAATTTTATTACTATTGGTGTTGAAATGTCGGCGTAGCAGCTGTTCTATCATCTAAACTAGACAGACTTTACAACTTTGCACGATGTACTCACGTGTTTTCAAAGCATCCATTATACTACGGCAACTAACTAGGGACCGGTAAATTACAAAAGCAACTAGTCATTGGTGGTTATCCAGGTGTTTTCAGTTTACTCACGTTTTTAAATATGTTAAAAATACCATATCGAAATTCCCACCTTCTTTGCAGTAGTGATATTTTCGCACGAGTACTCTAAATGGGTTATGTGTCGTTTTTGTTTGTAAAGAACTTTGATTTGAATGGCACATCATGATTCACATTGTCTTACATTGCCAACAAATTAGAGTTAAGAGATAACATTAAATATACATTTCATAAATAAGAGAAAATAGCGTGGTTTAAAACATTAAAAAAGTTATTGCAAAATTAAAAAAAATGACAATGATTTGTGTATTACATAAATATCTGACACTCATTAACCTGACTTGTTCTATAGGTAGTCTCCTTTTTTCGAATCGTGGGGTGAAAACGTTTAAAAACAGCCCTCGAATCAAGTAAACCAGACGGATTCGTTTACAAATTCGTTGATTCTGGTATTGTAACAGTTGCTGAAAGAATAAAGCGTGGAAAAACAAGCACCCCTCACGGAATGTTCACAACAAAGACGGCGGTGCTTTCTGCGAAGTATTTAATATTGACAAACCAGCAGTAAATTGTAAAGTAACCCCGTCTTTTATTTCTTGTACATCTATATGTTGCAAATAAACACTTTTCAAGCAGTACCCTTGAAGCATATCCTTTGTCGGTGAGTCCGTTTTGGTCACACGTATCTCATCTCCCAGCGGACACGCTGTAGGGAAATTCTAAAACCTGGGGGCGGCTGGGAAAAGGACGGGTGAAGTATTATGCCATGCACGCAGATATATCACCGCGGTGTGAGATAGTAAAGTACATGTTACACAAACATATTATAATATGTTCTCGTCGGGGAATTGAATCGTGTGTGGGAATAAATTTGGGATATCCACAATCTTCTCATCAACGGAACTGCTTGATTTTGAGGATGTCATGTGGCTGTGTACCCCGACGGGGGCCAGTATAGGGTCAGATATGTGGCGGACCTGAAGGAAAAATGCAATGTCTACAACGAAAATCTGAATTGGTTGGAATTAGTCTACAATAAACGCGTGAGGATGGTGATTCATTTGACTTCACCACAACCACGATGGCGTTCCTTGCACATCTCCACCAATAAGGCATGTTTAAATGTTGTAACATTTTTCGAATATATATTTCGATAAATAAACAACATTTAAAAAAATATCACATTCAGAGACACGTGTTCTAATTATCGTACATGTAAAACTCTCGAAGATATCGACAATATAAATAGATTGATCCAGGTTACCTGGAACTTCTACACGCGTGAAATAACACTCGAAATATGGTGATATCTCCGCAGGGGTCACGGTATGATTGGACCAGATGTGAATCTGTACGGAAAAAACTTATATACTAGTTTTTCCATGGTAACTGTGATTACATTGCATAGGGATGAAAACATGTATACCAATATCTCATACTACGCGGCCGTTCTTTCATTTAAAGGCACACATACAGTAAAGAATGCATTTATCATCGCCAGTTTGCTTTCGGGTCGATATCTACACTGTGACCACAATACGGTTCAGATCCACCACGGAATACATATATAATTTGCCGATAAAATCAGAGATTAATGACGAAGCCCAAAATGAATCACATCCTCATCGCGTTGCCTAGTTACAGGAAAAAAATCATTTAACTTGGGGGCATTCGACGTGTTTATTTCTCTAACTTCAAGCAGCCTTCTGGATTTGTTTGTTTATACCAGGTTAAATAACCGACTCCAGTGATGACCTGGCGTTATTAATGGTGCTTTAGTGACCGTAAAACAAGAGAAATCCATTTCGGCGATTTTAAGTAAACTACGCGATGTCCGAGTAATCTCGGACATTTGTATTAATCGGGAGTTTCTGTGACAAGATTCCTCTTTTATAACGCTTGAAAGTTTTGTTTTTGTCATCTGTGAGAACTGTTATCCTACATTACCAGCTGATAAAACAAGTCCGCGCCATGATTTACTGACACTATGTCTAATAAATCAGTTTTGGGTTTTCTTGCTGGACACCAAACACTGTGTCTAGTAAATAGTACCAATACTAGTAACACCAGCCCCCTATTTTGTTCGCCTATACTGTTAAGACCTTTGCTTAATAAACGCCATGCTAATTCGTTTGTCCCTCATTTCCTGATAAAAACAGTTGTCTATTTTTCTTTCGTAAATATGACCAAGGCTAAAGCCAGTGGAATGGTATTGTTATTAGCGTCATTAGAAAGATTAATGGTTGACTGAACTAACGATATAAACAGATACCAATATGACCACCATCATTGCGGTCTTCGGTCGTCATGGCGACTTGTATACTAATATTTGACTAATTCAACTTTTCATCACTCTGGGGCATTCCACAAATCTACAAACCGGAAAGTTTCAGGGCGAATTTTTGCGATGTTAACATTTATCTCGGTCACATGGCATTCCATGCGGGACACGGAGTCAATACTAAACCACGATCCAAGTCGCGGAACGAGGCTGGCTTTCTAAATTAAAACGCGTGCCCGTACGTCACCAAGACGCGAGGTGACGGAACGACATGCTCCCCACTATGATTCTTACCTTTCGCCCGGCTTCATTGTTATGGAGATTCATTTTCATTATACCATGCTCTGCTGACGCTTTTGGAGGGATTCTTTCATTTTCTTTCATGTCAACAAACTCTTTGGTGAACCTGTACCCGTAATCGACGTTGTCACCACATCCACCCCAGAGCCAGTCTCGATTCAAGTCAGTGGGTCGCAATGCTCGGCTGCAGCCACAGTTAGCTAGCTCCCCTTCCCGACATGCGCGACTGATGGCGTTAACAACCCCTGCTGCCGATATAGCGTAGGTGAAAGCCTTTTCTCGGCTTGCTGTGAAAAAAAAGATGTTGGACAATGTGACCGATGATTTACAAATTGACGATAAATATAAACTCTACGATGTCTGTTGCATGTATCAGTTCAAGGGCGAGCAGTTAATATTGCTATAAATAGTCATCTTCCTTCTGTCCAATGAATTGACCCAACAACACAGTTTTACTGCCGACATCATTTATACATTTTACTACCAGATATGCAAACTTTTTACCCCAAACACGTTAAATTAATTCTCGTTCCGAACATTCCAAATGTTGCAATTCATGTGAAGCGTCGACGGAAATGTGGCGCACTTCATTATGGGCAAACAAAACACACATGTTTGCATGTATCTGGGGGTAAAACATCAGGACAATGCACTATAACGTTGATTATATACGTGATCCGTATCGACCAGACAGCTATGTAGCTATTATAATATACCCAGGCAGGTTCTTATCCACAAAACTATCAAACAAACGAAGCACAAACCCACAGGGAGTCTTCAGCGCAAATTGATTCTCCACCCAGCCTGTAAAAACGAGTCGGTTATTTTACAAAGTCAACGTACAGAAGGAGGTTGGCTTTTTAATTTGTCTGCTATTACAAGGAGCAGATCGGCGGATTAGGCAGTTTGTACAGTATTTTTTCATTTGCTGAAATCCGATCCACTGACGCGATGAACTTGTACTTGCACAGTAACCATGGACGACCGTCCGTCAGATGGTCACAGTGTCTAATTTTCAAATCGCGGGGACGTGAATTCACGTATATTCGTATTACGATCAAAACGTGCCCACCCAAGATATTCCGTAAAATTATCGGATATTTTCACGGCAAGGCGTCTGCTGGTTCAATCCGTTAACTAAGTAGATCATATCGTTTTAAATATGTATAGGGATGATACACCACATACTGCGTTGGTGGGATGTGTTTGCTACCAATGTACACTGTACAATAAAAAAAAACATTCTAACCCGCGATGGGTTTGTTAGAAAAACCTGAGAGCTCTCACGGTCTCAATCGACGCAATATAATATACAAATAGACGGGTGTAATGGGAATTACTGATCAAATGAAGGCTTGACAAGGAGGTGTGTTAACTACCGACTTACCGATAGTCATAACATTACCAAATACCGACTGGCCGTCCACGGTACTGCAGTTCCATCGACGCTCACTGAACTGGTACTGGCACTCTTCGATTCCGGATTTGGCCCCGGTGCTTATCGGGTACATATGGTCTTGGTAGAGATGGCAGAGTTTCGTCTGTCCCTGCGATAGACCCTCTAGCTGGTTACACAACGACTGGATCGACGGACCGATTATTCCAACTTTGCTCCATGTCTGAAAGACGTGTGACTTCAACCCGAGCAGCCTTTGTAGGAGCGAGAATAAAGGGAACGCACAACATGAGGTTATTAAAACGATCTCACGGAGACACCGAGTTAAGAAAGGGATTTGGACAATGTGAGTGCTGTCCCGATGCTTCTCACAGTGATAAGACATGATCGAGCTGATAGCGGAGGAGATTAAATTATGATTAATGTTGTCACACAGGGGAATTTATTGAGAAAAGTCGAACTTCATTAGCCAAATACTGAATGGCGTACTTACCACCACGATTGCCCCTGACTCAGACTCTGCACCGAGGTGAATATAAGAAAAAATAGCTCTATATATCTCGCCATTCTGTACATTTTCGTGGTCGCAACACTATCGTCTTTGTATCCGCTGTCAGTTTCTCGGGCGAACGCACGGGTCCGTCGTCACAAAACAAGAATCGCCAGCTTAAGCTCCCGGTGACACTTTCTGCAAGATAATCCAATATGCGAAATGTTAAAGTTATGCAGCACGCAACGTGGTGTGCGTAAACAGCTCGGTTAAATTGGCGACGGTCACTAATGGTACTGTATATCCGCAGTTATTTTACAAATTGTTGTGAGATAGGTCGTCGAGTATTACAGTATATACACACGCACGCCGCCCACTGATTGATTATCCTGCGTACAGCGGCTTAAGGACTACAGGGAGGGAGCGAAAATATATCGCATTGTATTGCAGAAGTGTTTAGAAGAAGTTGAGACGGACCTCCTGATTGGTCCGCTCTGTGGGCCATTAAAACCTGATCACAATTTCATGTGTTGCTAAGCTATGGTGAATTGTTTGGTAGCTAATCACTGCTAAAGGCTGATTTGTCCACTTTACTGACTGACTGACTCATTCACTCACTCACCCACTCACTCACCCATTCGCCCTATGTCGAAAAGCTTTAGAACCTAAAAATACCACCGGCATTTCCCCCCCAGTGATGACGTTTCGGCGATCTGTATAGCCACCACGCTTCCTCCCCGGTACGCGGCGCCGCGCGTGAAACGCATATTTCAAACGGACTCCGGTATACACAGGGTGATTTACGGTGATACAAAACAGCTATATCATAGAACACAGTACTGCAATGTAACAGAATGAATATGCGGCTGCTTGTATCAATACTACGTGTTATGGTATAGTGCACACTTGAATGTTTCTCCCATAAAAGGTATCTTTGTTTCCAACCAAACTATAGAAAAAAAATACGGCTTTCATCGGAGTTGTCTGAGATTGCCCCGGGCAGTGGCAAAGTAAGCAATTAGCTTTGCACAGGATTTGGGTTATTTTACATCGTTCTACTTCAATACATTACTAATGCTTATGGAAAAATGTAAGTACGCGCACTCCGTTTCATGTATATGTACTCTTTTTATGAACTAGAACGACGGACGCAGACTTGCGTGTCATGTGGAATTAGTTTACGGAGGCAGGGGAGGGGCAATGTATTGCTGATGTAGAGGTCGCCCCCACCCCGCCACACAAAAAAAAAAAAAAAAAAAAAAAAAAAAAAACACAACAAAGGGTACCGTGTAACATTGAAACCGATGTTGAAGCTCCCCTTTCAAACTGTATATCTTTGTTTATAGATATAAAGTGTGAACACTTAAAAATTGAAAGTGTTTTTTCGCGCCGCCAGGGTTTATACGGCAAAGTAGCCAGCTCAACAAATCCGAAATTGTCAGTATGTGTATTTTTCGCATAACTATGGAAATTGGATTTCCGGAGTTGGAAGCCAATTTAGTTTTTCACCTCATCCTTGAATGGCGCGTTACAAATAGTCCATATGACAAGAGGGACTGTGTCCACATATATGATTCTATATGACCAACAAGACGATGGGCCAGATAGCTATCATTGCACCCGCGTACTAAACCCAAATCAGACATAGAAGGCTTAACACTGATGGCCTAATTAAATTTTGTAGAAAGAATAAGTAACAAACCGCAATAAATTAAACGCTTCCAATAGTATCGCAGTAATGTGAAAATACCAACGGTATTTGACAGTTGAAATTCTGCTCTTTTCACCAACCTGGGCTCACTCACTGCTAACAAGTTGACCGATGGCTGTGGCGATGCCTCCGACAGGTACCGTACATGGTGACTTGATTTAAGTAAGCGGACACTATACTTGACATCATTCGGCACCGATTGCTACATTCATACCACAACAAACCGTAGCACTAATTTGAACAATGACGAGATACCGACGCTTTCGAAATAAGACTCAATTTGCATACTATTACGATGCTGTTGTTCGCCGATTATTCACAAAACCAATCACCATCGGATTGTTTCGACAAAAGGAAAAAAAAACCTGTAAAAACTAACTTAATTCAGAACAGTCTTTTAATCGGGGAGGCAGTTGGATTTGCCGACCCAGTGAATATTTACACTGGTGAAGGTGACAGGAGTCTTTTCTTGTTTTAATTCGCGGACACAACAGGTTGCTGGATTACTAGTACTACAGAATACGCGCTGGTGAAAAAAATGTATTTCAGTAACCGGCCTTACACACAATTGTTTCCTACGCCTTCGCAGAATTTTATTGGCATGGGCAACATTTGAAATATATTGAAACATAATTCATAACAACACATTTGGAATTCAGTTAAACATCGGGTTTATTAGACATGCGCTTGCTTCACCATTTTGTTTAACAATCGACGTGCCCACAATGTTTGTCAGATTCACACGTTTTATTTAATATTTACCATCCCTCCCATTCAAGCTGTAAAAAAATTCTTAAGGGTGAGAAAGAGATATCGATTTGATAGTGAGGGGGTGTTCTCGTGATGAGGGGAGGGGGGTCATTCCGATAATATTTAATGCACCGTATTTTGCGAGTGTAACAACCATCAACTCGTCCCACTCAGCTGACCAACAGCAGCCACTTACTCTTAAAATAGTGTACTATTGTAAACAAAGTTTTGTCTTAACTCATGATAAAGTGAAATTATGGGATGCGGAATGGGTTAATTCATCGTCCCCTGAGATAACTGTTGAATACTGTCAGCATATTGGCTTAGTAAGGTGGTGGGAATGGAGCCAAGATGAGATGAACAAAATGGGAGCAAAATCACCACATGTCAGAACTGTGTGTGGTATGTACAAGTGTCTCCATTAATTGTGGACCAAACCATTAAGACTGTATCAATTGCGAGTAATGTCCTTGATGGAAGCTGTCATCTTGATGTATCGCAACATGTGACGCGGAGACTGGCAGAAGAGTTCCTTTTAGGATCAGTTTTACGCGAGGAAATTCACAATGTGAAGCAACGCACCAAGCAATGTATACGTTGCCTCACCAGTGCATCGTGAGTGCCTCAACGAATTACACTCGTGTTTAATTGAGTCACCCTTACAGAGTAACGAAATATATAACCTGTACACCTTGTGGGGCAGCGTGTAGAACGAATCCAACGGGTCTTGGAAGTTTACTTTCAATAGATCTCATCAAAGCGGCTGCTCTGCTAAGTACGACTAACCGGGGTTGCACTCGGGTTTATATGAGTCACAATCACACAGTAGCAAAATATGGTGATTTCATTCAGGTTGCGTTTGAGCCACAGTCATGACGACAAAATGTGTTGCCGTGCACACTGCAAGTGAAAGCATACCGGAGACCCTTGGGCAGTGTTTTTTTTTTGTTTTTTTTTTGCCCACTAGTGTGGATTTCTCTAATTTCAGTATATTTGAAGCACACTTCTTGCCCGATGTGTAATTCATGTCCACATACATGCATTATAAATTGTCATTTGACAAAGAGATGGCCATACAGCCCTGTCATGTAGTCCCAAACATGAATATGACTTCTGTGGCAAAATGCACTATGTGTCAGCACTAGCACTTGCAATTTGCACATACAAAAAAAAAAAAGTCAGGAGAGACAACAGTGATACCCAATGTCCGGAACTGTCGACTGGCACAAAAATATTAAAAAACATCATGAAACATCATGTGTGCCACGTGATGTCGATGTTTCACACTGGCTTAAATCATCGCTCTGTTCCTAGTGAATGTTGGGGATGTGAGGTATGATATTATGCACCACACGTTATACCATAACGATAGAGGGCGCTCGACCAGTAAAGCAAGCAATGACTTCCAGTATGTTCCCGGTAATGGCATTTATTCCCTTATTTGTTGAATGCTGTGTACTGATCGAAACTTTCTTGAATTATTACCCACACTCCGTACAGGAATGTCCCGAAAAAAAACCTACGTGTACCACGATATGTGTGTTGAAGCTCAGACAACGGATAACTAATAACTTTATTAGTTGTCTGAGGTAACCGTTGAAGAAAGCGAGCCCGAGGCCAGATTCAACAAATGCAATATGATTCAATGGCTTATTTTTTGTTTATCGTATTCGCTGACAAGATACGCGTATCCAGACTGTGAAAAAGAGGGTAATGCTTCGGGCGGTGCAATCATAACTATAAGTTTACGGAATAAACGGACGTTTCGTATGGTCATCGGGTATGGTCGCCTGGCGCAGAAGACTGAAGTGACAACGGCCCTCGTGATCTTGTATTTAGAATAAAACGGCTGTGTCTCTTTTGGTGCACCCGTTCTATCTTCAAATGGTGGGAATAAACAACGTTGATGCTGTTTCTTTTTTACAGAAAAATATTGACTAAAACTAATAATAATGTTCTTGATGGAATATAATTTATATATCCACAAATTTCTTGTTTGTATGTCGTAAAATACGGGCATGCGCAGTTTCATTTCAAGGGATTTGAAATCAAGCGAGTTTTACCAATACCAATGTAATGATTTTACTGTTTATAAAAGTATACTTCGGCTAGAATGATAACCGCAACATACAGAGAATGTTCATTCATAACACAACTCGAGAATTGAATACACCCCCTTCTGTTCATCCAACGTAATCATGAATTACATTGTAACAATGTTTTATTGAGGGGAAAACCGTGGCGTTTCTACAGATGCGAACTTTGTTCTACTCGTGCTAGAATAGATTGTATGATTTACTGTTGAGTACTATGATCTAGTTTATTATCCAACACATCAATACACATCAGAGCAATGCATGCGTGTTCAAAATCTGAAAACCATAATAAACATCTTACTAGAGGAGGTTATCTGATGACTTAATGGGAATAAGTGAGTGGCTTAAGACTGGATAGGTAGAATGACACCACTTGTCGGAATAATTCGTGTATCTATGCAAATTACTGACTATCACTGACGAAAATCCAGCGTCCGAAACTATTTTTACTCAGGTCAATGATTACCAAACATCTCCCTCTATCTATCCGGGTTCTAGCAGCTTTCGTGTAATCTATTTACTGTACATAATTCAGTATGCCGTGCTGGCGCCGCAGCCTTCTTGACCCGAGTCGTGTTATAACCCTGTTGTTTTCATCGTGTGCATTTAGCGTCCCAGTGTTCGAGCACAACTTCCTAAAATTACAAATATTATCAAATAATTTCACATTTGGCGAGCATGTCAAATATATCAATAAATATTGCAGAAATCTTAGTAACTTGACTCTCTCGCAGAAGGTCTCGATAATCGGACATATAATGTAGTATTCGAACATTTAGAACATTATACAGTATGGTAATTAGTCACACAAAATCGCGTGTAAGTTACTTCGTCAAGCTCAAACATACATCCTTGTAATCATGGAAATAAATGGCGATACATTCTTAATAAACAAGTTCAGTTCAGAAAATAAGATCCGATAATCAGATCCCGTCAATTTTTATAACAGTTGTTCATTATTACGCGAAAACGACGCATGTCGAATTACAGGCCACCGTCCTTTAACGGGCTATAACGTGAACACGAGCAATGACAAATGTAACGTCCATATCCTACTCGTAACACAATGACTGCAATGTTGTATTATATTACGTGAAATATTTAAAGGGGGGAGTTGACCTGCGCATGCGTCAGATGGCC